GGGATTGGTTGCCACGTTTTGACATAATCATTGGGTCGGGTACCACGTTCCGGTATGCTTACAGTTTGGGTTTGGGTTCCATGAGAGGACCAATGATTTGATAAAAAAATGTTTGTTGTTCGTAAATGTTGATAAAATTGTATATGTTGATATATATGCATGTGATTATAATGTTGTCTTGACTTGCTTATGTTGCACTTAGTGGGATAGCCGTGTGATCCTACCAGTACATTGTGGTTGTGTATTGATACTGCACTTTTCTCTTATTTTGTCTGAGTACAGAGCATCTTCAAGCGGCTACTGACAGACCTCGCTTAGGAGATCAGTGATCGTTCGAATTCAAGGGTGAGCCAATTCTTCCAGGCTGCCATGGGTTCTCTTTCGTCTATGTCCACCATTTCCGGACTTTAGACTATGTTCTAGTTAGTTGATTAGTTCATTAGTTGGGGGTTGCATCCCTTCTTGTTTTAGACTTGGTTCATTTATTAGATGTTTTGGTACATTGACTTTCAGGTTTTAGGTTATTTCTTCTGCATTGTTTAGTTCTTGTTAGACTTTTGTTGAAGTTTATGGGAACTCCCTATTTATTTCATTAGTATTTAACTTGCTTTCGTAACTTAAATGCCTTAGTTTTGGTTTAGTTGCTTGGGTTTGGTTGTAGTAGTGGTTCTCCCACCGGATAATTAGTGTGGGTGTCATCACAACGATCTGGGTCATGATAGTAAAAAAACAAAAAATTGAAACAAAAATATATATTATATATCTATTGACTATTCTCAGTTTAAGCAATTGATTGGATGATTTTTTAGGTTAATTATTTTCTACTAGGGTAGTAGACATTTTTTACTTTTTTATGTTTTACTCGGTGATAATATTTATATTGATATTTGATTAAATTTAAATTTATATCGAAGAGTTTCATATTAAGGATAATGTGATTCCTAACATAAGCGATTTTATATCCAAAAAAGATTAAATCCAATATTTTTAATCATAAAAAAAAAAGTTTATCACTTCATTACGATCCTGATAGACTACCAGGAGGTACTTGGCAGTATGATAAAAAACAAAACTTGGAATTTAGTAAACTTAGAAGGTTCCATCTCAAAAGATAATCAACAATTCAACATCATGAAATCTGACAAACTTAAATCACCAAAAATGATACTTTTTTAGTGGTTCTGTTCTTCATATTACTGGACCCACACCATGTTTCTTTTCAAAAGAAAATTGTCTCAATGTGGCCATTTAAAAAATACTTTTTCTGTTATATTTTTTTCAAATATTTTGGTTAGATTTTTTTGTTCATCATTTTACATTTTCTCCTTTAACTTAAATATACTCCCTCTATCATAATTTATGGGAATGTATTTGATTGAGCATAAAATTTATTAAGAGAAATAAGAAGATTGTTGAAATTTGTGGTCTAAAAAGATAAGACATATAAAATTTTGAGAAAATTACATAAGTTAGATCCATTAGATAAATTATTTATCCAAATTGGATAACTTTTGCAAATAGCCACTAAAATAATTTTAATTAGGTTCAATAGCTAGAGTTTGCTAATTACGATTTATAGCTACATGTTAGAGGGATGAGAGAGGCGAGCGAGATTGGGAGAAGGGGGAGAGAGGTGAGCGAGAGAGGGAAGAGAGTGGAAAGAGGTGAATTGTATTTGTATATCCGTCATATAATTGTATATGTATGTGTATGATTTATATTTGTATATGTACAAGCGAGGACAGAGGAACAGAGGATAGAGGCGCACATAATTATAGCTAAATTTAAGCTGTGAGTGATAATTAATATAAACTATAATTATGTTAGTTAATTTACTAGTATATACTTGCTTATCCGCGTAATTTCCCCATATATTTATCTTGATTGGACCCACAATCCAAACTATTTACCCGACTGCCCCCTTGTTCTATTCAAATATATATATTATGATGGTATCAAACAGTAATTGATCAGTCTTTTCACTGAATCATTGTATGTTCCTCCTTGATGCCATCAGAGTATATATATACTCTAATGGTATGGAAGAGTAACTGAGTAGTATTTTCACTGAAGCACTACTTCTTCCTCTTTAATACCATCAGAATATATATATATATATTTTGATGGTATTAAGCAGTAAACGTATTAGTAGTTAAAAACATGGGATAATAAAAGTAAGGGGGTAACCACTTGTAAATAATTATCCTTTTTGGGGTACAAATATTCTTTTCCCTAAAATTTTGTGATTATAAATCATTTCATTTAAACCTAAATAAAAGTTTTAAAATTAAACTATTACTAAATATGAAAAATATCATTTTTAAAAGTGTCAAATAAATTGATAGAGAAGAAATAATTATTTATGCAGGTCAGAGATGGACTGTCTTGTCCCATATATATTTGCCTAGTTGCCTGTAAAATGCTTCTCCATACCCACATTCCTATCTATATTTTAAAAAATCATTAAAAAAAGGTTTTGGCGTAACAATTAAAGTTATCATAGTAAGATTTAGGGGTTTAAATCGCGAAAATAACTTTTTAAAAAATGCTAAGTAAAGAAATGTCTATAATAGATTTATTGTAATTGGCCCCTCTTATGTACCTCACGCATAACAAGAGAGGCACGAGAGCTAAAGTACACCGAGTTGTCTTTTTGCTAAAGATAAAAGAAACACCAGGGCTGCATTTTGGGTGTTAGCTAGGTGCTTGACTGGTGTTTTACTTTCTTCATATCCCCATTGCTATCAATGTTATGAATTATTTTACCAAATAAAGTCTTTGGCGCAACGATAAAGTTTACAATCTTGTTAAGGTCGTGAATTTATTACATCGTGGAAATAACAATCCTAAAAATACTATGTAAAATTATGTACAATAAACTTAATGTGTTTCGTTCTTTTTCTGGACCTCACACATAGCAAGGGAGCTTATGTACATTGAATTGTCTTTATTAAAGATTAAAAAAACCAACAAAGGTTTTGGGTGGAGTAGTAAGTCTTCAGTTATCCTTAATCAGAGGACTTAAGTTCAACCCTGCTGGGTATACAGTTGTCTTTGTTAAAGAACGTTTTAACCCCAAACGTGAACCTTTTGAGGCAAATCCACATTTAATACTGAACACAAGATGCGAAACCAAAAGAAGATATGATCGAGAGATTGCTTGGATGGTATATAAGCACCCTCCACCTCTAATCATAATGTTATCAATTCGAGTAACCAAGGGAGAAAAAAGTTGGGAGGGGTAAAGAAAAAGTGAAAGCAAATTTAATCAATTGCCTCAATGCGGATTTCAAACACCATATATGAAATCAAATAAGATAAGAAGGGGTTTCTCATGTGGTAAGCATCATCCACCTCCAACCATTAGTCAGGAGTTTGAGTAACCAAGAGAGTAAAAAGATGGAAGCTCGAATAGGGGTAAACAAAAAACAAAAGTGAGAAAAAATCATGGCAACATATTTGGTTGTTAGCTAAGGAGGTGAGTGTGGTCCAAGTCTAGTGTTTTTAGGTGGGATGACATAAGTAGGGCATATTACCAATGGATGAAAGAACAAAAGAGACTCAAGCCCTTGCATACAAGACTAATCCCAAAAATCAACATTCAATACATATTTATTTCTTCCCTTCTCACAACACACCATGTGCTATTGTTTTTTCCACTCTCCCCATAAATACTTTCCTTTCCCTAATTCCAATTCCACACAACTCAAAAAATTCAAATATTCAAACCACACCTCAAGTGACCATCCTTTCTAAAATCCCCAAATCTCCTCATATCAAAAAACCAAAAAAAAAAATGGCTCTAAAGAAATCAAGCAAACACATAACTCAAAGTGTAGCCCTCAAACAAATCTTGAAAAGGTGTTCAAGTTTTGGAAAAAATGAGAATGGACTTCCTCATGATGTACCAAAAGGCCACTTTGTAGTATATGTTGGTGAAAATAGAAGTAGACACATAATTCCAATTTCTTGGTTGACACATCCTGAATTTCAAAGTTTGCTTCAAAGGGCTGAAGAAGAATTTGGATTCAACCATGATATGGGACTTACTATCCCTTGTGATGAAGAAGATTTTTGTTCTCTAATGTCAATGTTCTAATAAGAGGTAAAACTGCGTACAAAAGATCTAAATGTGGTTCGACCCATTCTTTGGAATAATCTTACGCACTACTAGAGCTTACTGCATCAGACTGCCCTTTGAATCAGCGAGACACTATTGGAGATTACTATGGAGCAACTAGATTAGGCCATTAAGTGAATATAGTTGAATTTATTTTTTATTAACTTATCATAAAGAAATCCCTTCTAATTAACTTTTGTGGGATTGAGTTTAATTTGTACAATCTCATGTGTTACTAAATAATTTGACAAGTGGTGTTATATTTGCACCCATTTTTAAATCTTGATGTTACTATTCATGAGAAAAAAAGAGAATATCCACAACATTTTTCAAATTAATATAATTGAGTTGAAGTAAAATTAATATGGATCGTCAATATAAATAATTTTTTCACTATCAAAGTGCTAGCGACGTAAAAATAGTGTGAAACTTTAAATTGAGTTGAAGACATAAATTTCAATGTAGACGTATACTTAATGACTTCACCTGAATTTAATATTTTCAATATGAAAAAGATACATATACATGACTTTTTTAAGAAAAAGGTACTCAAATTTCAGCAAATCAAATTTTGAGTCGATAAATTTAAGAGTACAATATATAAATAGCAATAACATTGAAGATTGAAGTTAACAAACTTAAATTCTAAAATTGTCTTTGATATCAACTACTTTTATTTATCAAAGGTAGATACTAACTATTTAAGTATCTTGGTGAACACTCAAGGTGTTTAATTATAGGTCAAGTAAATAGTCATAAACACTTTTAGTTTGATAGTTTTTTTTTACTATTTTATTCTTCATATATATATATTTTAACTCGCAAAAAACATTTTCCAATACAAAAATCTCTAATTTCCACTCCATTCATATTCATTGTCCTGTCTCTTTTTTTTTTTTAAACAAATCTTTCTATATGAAATATTAGGGCATTTAGTCATTTATCAAAAGAACAACTTATCTTTTTTTTTTACCAAATACTTAAGGTTCTTATTATTAGTTTTGATATTTTTATCAAACACATAATATAATTACTTATGTATAAAATTAATTTCCTATTGTTGGAAATAAAATCATCTAATTATTTTTAAAAAGGGGAAATGAAAAAATAATAATAAAAATTTGGCATAAGCATCAACTGTGAAATAGTTTAGGAGTATCATCTCCGAATGTGCCTTATAATGCGCGATACAAATTTAATCGAGACTTTAATGCAGATGCAAACTTCGGACACCGAATAGAAAAAAAATGTATTGTTTATATCTTAGCTTTGATTGACAAGTTAATGCCATTGAATGTGGAGAGTTTTTGCTTAAATTTTGGTTACAAATAGGACCTTATTGCCTTGCACCCACTGCCAAGCTTAGCCCTTTGCTTAATTGACGGCCAAACAACTTATTTTGAAAAATGTTTTTTTTTTTATCGGAAGTGCTTTTTGAAAAAGTATTTTTCAAGAGTAGTTATTTGTATTTAACTAATTATTTTGAAAAATATTTTTGTCAATAGTAGAATAACAATATGTGTTTTGACCAAAATTCCAAACATTCTTTAGAAATGATAGTATTTTTTAAAACTTTTACTAGGCTCAAAATCACTTATTTTTTAAAAAAAAGCTTTAGCAAACACTTTAGTTCTCTAAATAAACACTTAAAAGAAAAAAAATATTTTTGACTTTTCAGAAACTTTGTCAAATCGGTTATTAAATCTATAATATTTTCAAGCCCGAATTATTTGAACAACTAAGAAAGAGATAAAATCACATCTCGATCAAATATCAATTCACCGGTTTGAAAGAGAAAAAGAGCGGAGATGTGCCGAAAAAATTACTCTTGTTATTTTAATTTGATTGTCTTGTTTTCACTTGGCGCGTAGTTTAGGAACGTTTTTTTTTTTTTGAACCTTGTCATCTTAAATTAAAGACATGTAGACTGAATCAAAATGTCTTTTAATCTTGTAATTTTAAACTTATCATATAAAAAGTAAAGATTAAAAGAATTGCCAAAAAAAAAAGAGATATTCTTTTTCAAAAGGACAAAAAAAGAAAAATAGACAAACAAAATGAATTAAACGGAGGAATTATTATTATTATTAATTGATTAATCAAGTAATAATAGTGTCAATGATATAATCAAGTACTAATTGTTTTGATTGGATTAACTGATAATTTGACCATATGTTGAACACACATTATTTTGAGCACATGCTAGTAGGACCCTTATGACCATAGCCTTAATTACCTCCTAATCAATTCTTATTCAATGATATAGATTTTGAAACAAAATAGTTAAACATTGACATTTTCTTATGACCATAGCCTTAATTACCTCCTAATCAATTCTTATTCAATGATATAGATTTTGAAACAAAATAGTTAAACATTGACATTTTCTTATTCTCTCGTTGTTTGATTTGACACAATATTTTTTTAAAAAAATTAAAAATTTATGATCTAAAACAATTCTTAATTATTTATCCTTTGTATATGTAAATAGTTAGTATTTGAATATAAATTTGTATATTTTGTTCACAAGCTCAATCAACACATGTAAATCTTTTTAAAAGTAAAATATTTCATTATAACATAGTGAATAATTTGCCTTTTTTTTCAAGTATTAAATTTCTTTTTTTTTTCGTTGCTTTTCAAGGATTAAATTGATACCTAATTACCTATCAATCAGATCTATAAACGTTACCAATGTAGAGAATTTTATTATGTACTTTTTGTGCAATAGATAATTCGAAGAAAATCACTATAGTGGTATCAATTTGTACTCTTAGATCGAAATCAAGAAATAGACTAACAAAAACTCGTACTAAGAGAGTAGTAGAATGAGATTGATAAAAATATTGTTCTCAATGATCGAATCAATTCAGACGACTAACCGAAGACCTACAAGTCAGCCTTGAATCCCAAACATTAATTCAAACAACTTTCTGTAGAAGACGAATAACAAGCTTCAAGGCATTCAATTTGAAACCTTCAGATGTGTTGTTTGATTGGTAGGATTAGGATAACAATCTTAAAATAAAATGCGATAAATAAATATTAAATAATTTTAAAATTATTATATTTCATCATTTTTATGTAAAATTAGGAAGTTATTGTAAACATATGAATATAACATGGGACAAGATTCAGTACTAACGTACAATAAATAGTAGTAATGGGGACAACAATGTTGCATTTACCAACCATTGAGTATCACTAGCATGCACTAGCAACCTCATATATTTTAGATTTTTAAAGACAATAATGGACCCTTTTAAAGATTATTTTCTTTGGCTCTTGTTCGATGCGCGGTATTCGATATGTTTCACTAAATTTAGATTCATGCTAGGAAGTCACACATTAGGGAGTAAATTTTTAGGGTTTTGTTCTGATTTTTATTCTTTTTCTTGAAGGAAAGTTAAAGTATTCCCATAAATGTTTTAACTTTTGTCGAAAGAAAAGTATAATTTTTTTCTATATTTGGGCTATTGCTTTGTCGGAAAAAGGTTTGGAACTGTATAAATTGAAGACTCTTCTTCTTATACCACAATACAATAGTATCCACAATGACATTTAAGAGTTTAGTTTATGGAGAGATTATTCTCCCAATAAAGTTTATGCTTTTTGATATTAGTTTTCAATATGTAGATTTCTTGAACAAATCCTGTTAATAATATGTTTTTATTTGTTATCTGATTTATCACCGTCTTGATTTGCAATGGTAAGTTTTTGCATGACGCCCTGATTCATTTTAAACTCAACATATATTACTCTCTAACAAAAGCGATTTCGTATTCAGTAGGGTTCGAACTCAAAATTTTTGATAAAAAATAAATGAGTATTTACCGCTCTATCACAACCCTTATTGGTGACCCTTCTTTTTCAAGATTTAAGATGGAGAGAAACAACATACTTCAAAAACATATGTGAAAATTAATTAATTATTGGACAAAAGGAACTGGTCCACACAATTATGTATGGATGAAACTGTTCAAAATTGTTATTAGTCTTTTTCATTTAGGTTTAATGTTAAGTTGATTTAGGATTAGAGAAAAGACAAATTGAGGATTATAATCACTAGTTTTAAGCCCTTTTCTTGTTGTCTAATGCATCTATATTTCTTTTTGTGTACCTCATTGGTAGCCTCAATATTTGTCCCCTCTAGTTTTCCTACCACACAATATATCCAACTTGCCAAATTTAATATGAGGGAAAAGAGTCAAATTTGGCCATGTATGTACTATCATAAATTTGAGTAAATTTATTTTTTTATGAATGATTTTCAATTTTTGATTAGTCAAAAAAAAATTGGAAAGTATTTTTTCTAAAAGGAAGATAATTCCTTTTAAAATAAGGAAAATGACTTTCTCAGTAAAAGTAAGAAAAACAAATTTCATACGTGACGTTCCAAATTAATATTATCCTCATCATCCTCGTACACACCTCATTTGTACTCTCACTGTCGTAGCCTCCGTCCTAGGGGTGTGCACTATTCGGATTAAACCGAATAATCAAACCAAATCAAATTGATTTTTTATTTGGACTGGTTTTTTGGTTTTGGATGAATAAATTAGTAGTTTGTTTGGTTTTTTGGTTTGGCCTTGTCTTTCATGATGATCACGTTTATATTTTATGTTTGAACATCTATAATAGGTATACTTATAAGTATTGTGTTTTAAGTTTTACTTATGATTTATATTAGAAAGTATATTTAAGAGACTATATACTTATAAGTATTGTGTTTTAAGTTTTACTTATGATTTATATTAGAAAGTATATTTAAGAGACTCAATACTATTACTTTGGTTATGTTATTAATTAAAAAATTCAAACCGAATAGTGCAAAACCAAATCGAAAAACCGAATGCACACCCCTACTCCGTCCCCACCTCCTACAATATATAATGTGTATGGTATGAGGGAAATGTTTTTCCATAGAAATTGTTTTCCTGAAAATGTTCTCAAAGAAAATTAAGTGTGTTCCTTGCTTATTTTCTTGTGTTTGGTATAAAGTATTATTCTAAACATATTGTATATAATCTAGTCAAATACTGTGAGAGGTGATAGTGGGAGTTAGGAGTGATGGGGATAGGGGATTTGATGGTGGGGGTGAAG